ACACACACACACACACACACACACACACACACACACACACACATAAATATGCTTCATTCATTGTCCAAACTCTTACTCACTAGTGGTCACCAAAGCGCATGCTCCAGGTGCCTGGTTCCCTGTTTTTCCCGTAATCCTCTGCAAGAACCCAGAGAGTAGAAATGACCATCTGGAGTCTACCCATATGGAACCTCAGGCTGGAGACAAAGTGATCTAATTGTCTAGGGTCACTTAACCACGAAGGCACACGCCTGAGTGATGAAGCCAAGGATCCTCAACACCAAAATCCATAAAAGCCACTCTGGCTTCCTTCTCTTCAGAAGGGACTCAAGGAAGTGACTTGTCTGAGCTCACAGAGTAGCTCTTGACATCTCTGGCCCACTCTCTCGCAGGTTTCTCTGACTCGGAGCATTGCACACAGCTCTTCACCCTCTTCATTGGCCTCCCTGACTTGTTCCTTCCCATATCCTCATCTCCCCCCTCCTCACGTTCCACCTGAAGTCAAAATCAACCTGTTCTCTCCATTTTCACTCGCATTACTTAGAGCAAACTGCACTACTCTTTTGTAACCTTTGTTAAGAATAGCACACTTACAGAAGCGTGCCCAGGACGGAAGCACCCAGCTGGCGCGAATCCCTGGGTAGCCCACTCAGGTCTAGGTGTTGAGCAGGCTGCTGGTGCTCTCACCGCGTGGTGCACTCTCTTGCTTTTACAGTTTTACCATCCGAGCATGCACCTCAACACTATCGTTTCATTTCGCTTCTTGCTTACACTCACCTATACAGTTGCGCAACCCTGTTTTGTTCGCCTTCTGCTCGGAGCAGATTGCACTGGCAAGTCTCATCCAGAACATTATCTCTGCTGTGTTCTGTCTCCACTGGAGAGCTATCCTGTGGAGGGATTGCTGAAGCCCTACCTCTTTTCTGAAGCACTACAGCGTCTCCAAAGTGCTCTTCTGGTCCTCTGCTCTGGCTTCTCTTCTCACCCATCATCCGCCTGGATCCCAGTCACAGGGATCTTTAAATCTGGTCATACTGCAAACCTGACCAAGTCACTCACTCTAGGCTGAAAACTCCTGAATGTCGCCTGCACTGCCTGCAGAATAAAGCCCCGAGTCCTTTCATGAGAGGCGCCCTGGCAGAGCAGTACCTGCGGGCTGTCCTGTGTACGTGCTATGCATACATGCAGTCTTCCCATGTGGACCTTCATGCTACCGCTCGCCTGGTCCCTGCCACCTTGAACTATTGAGTTGTTGGAAAAGTCATGACATCCTTTTTTTGTTTTTCAAGCAAAAAGCTGTCATGATTTTCCAACCCAATAATGTAACTTCCTGGATGTGCCTTGTTCTGTCTTGCCCCCCGGCCCTTGCACAGACTCTTCACTCTCATGCCTCCCTCTTTGCCTCGTCAGCCT